CGACGAGTGGGAGACCCGGCCAAGGTGGGGGCGGCACAAAGGAGGGGCCGGAGGTTTCCTGCCGGTGGACGGGCACGGGGTGGGGGGTGGGGGGTGGAGAGAAAGCCAGAGAGAAACTGGGACCTGAAGCCAAAGGCTTCCAACTGCTGGGAATCCCCGTGGGAGCCAGCGGCGGCTTCTCCAGACTGCCCTTTTCCTTTGGCTTACTTGATTCTATTTTTCATGCATTTTTATTCGTGGTCTGCAAGCTGTTTCCGGCTCAGTAGCCTAGAGAAAGCCGAGAGGGAGGTGGGGGCATGCCGCCCTCCCGCCCCCCTTTGTAGAGAATGTACGCGCTTCCCCGGAGGAGGGTCTGCAGCGGGTGAGGGTGAAGGTTGCGGCACGCGGAGGGGAAGGGGATAGAAGGTCAAGCAGAGACTCCCTGGGTATCTGCGTCTTTCATTCTGACAGTCCCGCACCCACCTCCCATGGGCGCCTCCGTTCCTCCTAAACTGCCAAATGAAAAGGGATGCTCTGTAGCAAAGATGCTCCTGCCAAGAGCTTGCTCTGCATTTCTCTATAGTTCTCGCCCTACACAAAGTGAGGGCAAACAAAAGCTTTTGCCCCTAAGCAACTGGAACAGAAAATCTGCAAAGGAAATGCTGGGTTAATCCGAAAAGAAGGCGATGGGGTTTGCTGCGTTCCCAGGAGGCAGCCCAAGGCTCGTGTCCAGGGGCCAGGGCAGCCAGCAGGCTGGCTTGCTCCCAGGCCCTCCCTCCCTCCCTCCCACCCAGCCAATTCTCTCTTTGTGTGAGTTTTGCTCCTCGGAGATGCTGTAGGGAGAGCATCCCATCAGGTGTACACGTGACTCATTAGCCCGCCCTTTAAAAGATCGATAACCGTCAGTAGGAGGCTGGGAGACAGTGCCTTGGATGGATTTACTGAAGGGTTTATATTCTCTTTTTTTCCATGAATGGTTTAATTGGTTAAAGCAGATTCCAGAAAACTCTGATTTCACTAAGAACACATGGCATTGTAATCTTAACGATGTTCATTCTGTTTATTTTTGTGCTCACGCTTGTAAAATGTACCATTCTTGGTGTCCTATATATAGTTTTACAACAGAGACCCTGCAGACCACAGCATGGTTCTAAAATGAATTTGTCCGGTTGATCTCACATTTTAGAGATGAGAAGCAGCATTTGTAAGAGACTCGACAATCGTGTAAATAAAATCTAAAATATTGGTACAAAGTGGGGTGAAATGTTAGATTCAATTTTTCAAAAAAAAGTTCAAAGGGAAAAAAAGTTGGTTTGGATTGATCAAAGATTGCAATGAGGTGGCCGAGTTATTTAGAAGCTCTTGCTAAATTTCTCATATATCCACATGGGGGAGTCTGGAAGTCTTTGCAGAAAGAAAGCAAGAATTTACAAAACTTACATACTGTGTGGAGAGTATTGTGGGGATTTGTTAAGATTCAGCACAAAACATTTCATTTTCTAGAGGTATGGAAGTGATCTTCCGTAAACATTCCGTGGAAGCTAAACCCTTTCCTGACTCATCATTACAGAACTCTTCTCTGGAGACACTACTTTGAAAAGGAATGGTAATCGGTGTGATCTTCCAGTATGTCTTTGGGAGCTTTGGAAACTTGAGTTTATTAAGAATTGCGATCTTTAATTGAGTCCTACTAAGGCGATTCCTATGGAGATGGGAGAAGCATTATAGTATTGGGCGATATCATTTGGTTTGCTTTAGTGAATGTACAAGTTTTAGGCTTTTAGTGCAATATTTAACTTCTTTGAAAATACTTCTAAGGATATATTGAGAGACTACCTCATGAAGCTACGTTTTCAGTTCAAAAATCAAAAGTCATAGTCATATGAATTATCCTGAGGAGGATCTTGATTATAATGTCAAAGCCTGCTTTTAGTGACAAGATTTGTACACCAAGAAATGCACATGTGTGTATATAGTGTGTGTACATATAGATGAATGTGTACAATTTTCTCATAAATCAAACCTTTAATGAAATCTGTTAACTCTCTGAATAGTGATAACTCTTCTATCTTTTACGTCACCAACTTAGTGCACTGACAGCATCACCCAGAGGTTTGAATACACAAATAGGCAATATTAAATTTCCTATTGTTAAGAATACATTGAGATGCTCATGGGCAATTCCCATTTATTAAATTGATTCTAATTTCTGAAGACTATTGTTAGCCATTTTGACATTAATTATTTCTGTGGAACAATATCACCCTGATTTTTTTTAAGTACTCTATTTTACATTTAGTAATTTGGAGAGTTTATAGATTATGCTAAATACCTAATTGCTTATTGTAAGTAGGCAGAATCAATATTTCTTACTCAGAAAAATATTTAAAGCATTTTATGTGATGAATATATCAGTATTCATTTACCACTTTCCAGTTGAAAAGAGTAACAATTTAAAAATTTAAACCTAAAAATGCGAACCGAATATTAGACTAACAAGTTTGCAGTGCATTATTGTCATTATCGCACTTCAGTTTATCCAGTCACGTAAGAACTATGTGTTCCCTTTTCTATAATATCAATTCCATTAGAATTCACTATGCTTTGTACTTGAACTAGTTTACTTCTTTTACATCCAAATCTGGATATTAGATTTCTGTTCTATAACAGAGCAGTGCTCCCAGTCTGCTACTGCCTTAGAGCCTAGATTTTGAGACAATGATTTTGGGACATGGATGTGTATTCAAAGCAATACTAACCCCTTTCCCAAACTTACGGCAGAAGCCTTGAATTAAAATCATTCTGCTCAGACAAATTCTTGCCAAGAAAAGTAAATGTTCCTAGTTTGTCAACTACTATTTGAGAATTTTTATTACTTCCTCCACAAACCTGGATTCCTATTCTCTATCCTGACAATTTCCAGGTATGTTCACTTTTATGAAATATCTCCCCAGGGCTAAATAGAAAGATCCATATTGCAGATCCATTCCTGGGTACCAGGAACTCACGCTTTCCTGAGTTTCTGTGAAAACTTTCTCTTCTGATGTAATCATGGGGAGAAAATCGCATATACCAGTGTTTTGCAAATGTATCTGTGATGTATTCTTAGTGGTGACAGAGTATATTATGGGACTTAATTTTTTCCTTTTTATTGCTACAATAATATTAAAATAATAAGTATATTCCCGATCTGTATAATCATACAGCTAAATAATTAATAACTGCTGCCATTATTATGTTTGCACTTGTGTTTATGATCCCATTGGTGCCAAGAGTTACTTCTTTAATTGACTTGAGGTAATAAGGAAGAACTTAAGAATTTTTTGGGGGGGTGCCTAAAAAAAAGAGTTTTTCACATATGTGACTCATGGTGAGGCCAAATGAGATTATAGCATGATGTATAAATGGAGGTGTGACATAGTTATACTAGATAAAAGTGGTGGAAGAACTGAATCATCACAGAGAACCGATAGGAACCATATGCTTCAGTCATTCTGAGATCAGTATTGATATACTAAAACTCATAAACATATTTGTGTTTGGAGATACGATTTGGTTTCAGCAAAGCAACATCATCTGTTGCATTAATTGAAACAAGTAAATTTGAATATTATGTCTATTTTATTATGTTTGATTTCTATATAATTTTTTATCTTATGTTTGCATAAGAGCTATAAGCATATGGGGTTTTGTAGTTAGTTTCATGTTAATATATTAAAGCAAAATTATACCATAAGTAAACATGATCTATGCTACGGAATGTTTAAAACAAATCTGTGTGTTAACTGAGCAATGGAAACACTGGAACTGGGTTATATTTTGAAAAGTCAACATTTACCTGACCTTGCAATTGATATTGTTATTATATAATTGGAAGGAGCATGGTATTATTTTTGCATTATGTAGTTATTACTTAAAGGAAGATCCATTCCCCATACTTATAAATGTGACCTTAAATTCACTTTATTAAATTGTGCAATCTTTGAAAACCAAATCCTGCATTTTTCAAAAATCTAATAGCCCTTCAAGTGTAAGATGTATCTTTTTTTAGCACCATTATTAAAGAAACCGAACCAAACTACTGCCATTAAATTGATTATGACTCAAAAAGCCCCTCTGTAAGTTTTCTGAGATTGTAAATCTCTAGTAGAACAGACAGCCCTATTCTTCCAAGGAGCAGCTGAGAATGGGTTTGAACCATGGACCTTTCAGTTAGGAGCCCAGGGACTAAACCAAAGAACCACCTGGGCTCCATATTCTAACAGAGGGACATTACCAATGAATTATAAGAAACAACTGGCTATAAGACATGTCTAAGTGAAGATGTTAAAAACAAAAAGATCTCATTCTTAATGTAATATGGAACCTATATTTGGATAGATGCCACCTCTAGAATATACTTTATGTTCAACTAAAGTAACCTTAGACTATTGAACAAATATATAATAAATATTTCAAATTT